AGAGAGAGAGAGAGAGAGAGAGAGAGAGAGCTTTACAATTCACTGGTTATAAGATGATAAAAATTATTTGTGTTATTAAATAGTGAAACATACTCAGAATCTGTGAATGTGTGGTCACTTTCATAAATTTACAATCATATGACATGATTTAGAACAAACTAATTGTTTACTTGTATTTAAACATTATTACAATACATTATTATTTAGTAAAAGTTGTAATATTGTTACTCTCAACTTTTTTTAAAATTTTTCCCCCAATAAAACCCACCATAACAAATTGGCCACACAAACAATTATTACTCAACAGTTACTATATTGGATATTATGGTTATTACATAACAACATAGCATTTGTCAATACATGTATATTTTCTGTCTAAATATATATATAAATTCTTTGAAAATATTCTGTGTTTTCCAACAGAATTAACATTAAAATGCATTATTCCTATACATGTATTGCTAATCGATTCGGAGATTATTGTATTAACAAGTTTTTGGGAATCGAGGAGATTGTCCGCTACTGTAATCCCTTTCCATATTTAGCGGCTATTTTTCAATGTCTCTAACTTTTCTTTTTGCTTGAGGCCATTCGATTTGCATGTGGTAAAAATACTTTACCATCATGGTTTATATCTTTAATTGTTTTGCTATTAAATTATGTATAAATTAATTATTAACTAGATATTTTGAAACAGTTTCATTCAATAAATCTATAAAACATTCCACAAAATAAACAAAATCCGAGTTTTATATCAAACTAGACATAAAGTATGGGCTCAACACCAGTGAGTGCTATCATTACTATATTAGTAAACATTTCATTCATATATTAATCTCAGACAACTGTCTCCAAAGATCTAATCCATACTAATCGACACGTTTTTTCCACAAAAAACAATAAAATTATATTCTCGCACAAAAAAAGTACACAAAATTGTGGTAAAAGTTAAACAATATATCGAAGAAATCTACAAGAATTTAAAAGTAAGTTTAAAACTTTATATAACAGAATCTTATACCAAAATATTAACAATAGTTAAATTCTGTTTGACATCACCTAAACATGTATATTAAATGATGTCTGGCATAGAAACCGAATCTTAATGACAAAAAATATAAGCATTTTATTAATAATTCTGTGGAAAAAATACGAAATCTTATGTATGTTTTGCATATAATCCGCGTTCACGACAAGGAATACCATGTATTCATTGGCTGCCAATTGTAGACAAAATACATGTATATTATTATAAGTTAGTTGTGAATGACGTTCACAAGTCTTAACACAATTATAACGTGTAATTTAAACGCTAATTATGATTAACTGATTATTATTATTATTAAGTTGTTTTGTCATAAATATGTCTGGAGAAACATTATAAGTCCTGTAAAACACATAAACCCACTAACAGTTGTATTTAGCAATAATTAGTTTATAAATACCAATTATTACGTTTATTTAGTTAAATCGTGCTTGCTATAGTAGAGAATGTAGTTGTTTTGCCAAAACTAGTTAAAATTATAATAAATTAAAGCCTCTATAATTGATAATCAATTTATTTGGGTATAAACAGCGACAAAATCTCTCACTATTCAAGTCTTAACAAAAAATATATAAATAAAAAATTTTGCAAATTTTAATAAGATTTCAATTAAAGGAGAAAATCATTCATAATTTTCGTAAAACGTCTGCAACTTCGGGCCCAAGTGTTGGCTCACGGGATAGACCACACCCTGCGGTCGGACCCGTTTCTCGATGGTAAACTTGGGCCTATCCTTCACGTAATTCACCGGCTGTACGATTGTCAACAACTTTGACGGATCCAACGGATTGCGGATCTGTCGCACAATGATATCCGACGGCGGCAACGGCTTATCGTCCTCGTCCTCTCCGTCGCGGCCACCCTTTCCCGGCTTCGGTAACTCAATCTCGGGAATCCCGAGTTCGGGAATCGCCGGCCGTTTGCCGTTGCAATACTTCGGGGGCTTTCGTTTGACGAGATACGTGCGGACACCGCTGGCGATGAGTCGTCGCGGCCCCGGATCCGATGGGTGACATATTTCGTAGCAATTCTTGATGGATATGAATCGGTTGGCGTTACCGCCGCGACCCGACCACGAGAAGGGCAGACACTGTTGTAATACAGGGTTATAATAGATGCGGACAATGTCTTCGACGCCTTCGCCAGTGTCGGGCACGAGTTCGCACATTTGCTGTATCGACAATTCAATGGATCCCGGGGCGCACCCGCCGTTCTGGCCGTTCACCACGTTTACGGCAACGACTATTGGGTCGTAATGAATGTTTTTAGACCATGTGTTTTGTTTTTAGTGTCTGTGTTTTACTTACAATTCAACAAAACGGCGATTAAAAGCGCAAACAATTTCTCCATTATTTTTATATACACTTAATTGAAACCTAAATCCATAATTAATTATCGATTTCATTCATTACACTCTGTTGTGAATAGTAATCGCAAAACAGATGGCTTTCAAACGTTGCAACCAATGAAATAAAATGGTAATCATTTTGAAAATCATTATTAATTTAGTTATGATTTATTTAAATTATTTTTTATGCAAAATATATGCTAACATTTTTTCCTAAACAATTGTTTTCAATTGAAAAATAAATAAAAACAATAACAGAATTATAGTTGAGATTATAATCATTGAAATTCATAATTAAATTAATTTTTTAGATTCAAAACTGTGTGAGAATTCAAACCATAGGAAACAAAACAACTATAGATTTAAACGTAAATCTCATAAAACAAGGAAAAAGTGGTCATAAATTAAATAACACGTCTAAAAATAGCTTACAATTACAACTCAATGGTAGAGTAATTGAGTGCTAAATTAATTACCGGTTTTATTACTATATCTCACATATAATTCAGTAAAACTCTAATCAAAACAATTAATTAATTTAAAAAAAACAGCAAACAATCATTGCTTAAGACTACGATTATAGCTAAATATACGGAACAATTGGTAGAGATTAGTGGCGGCGACGAAGACATTGACAGAGAAGAGGCTATAGTTCTTGGGCGTAATGACCAGCGAATATCGCGACCAAATAACACCCGTCGCGGCCAAAGCGCTCGTTTGGGGCGCCGACAGGTTCTCCACCGGACGCTGGATGTCAGCAATGCTGGCGATTACCAGACCCTAAGACATAGACAAACAAATCCATGGCGTGGTTAGTAATAGAGTAGATAATTAGTTGCCAATAAATAGGTACCCATTTCATGGCTGGCGCCCAGAAAAACACCGTTTTGGGTCCGGCCTCGTGTTCCCAAAGGGGTCGCATCGCTCGCGGGACAAACCGGTCCACCGCTGTCACCACACCTCGATATATGGCAGACATATTGTGTCACTCTGTATGTGTGTGCGTGTCTTCGGATTGGATCTGTTGTCAAGTGATGTGTATTTTACAGCAAATGTGCTGATTATCTGCTGATAAGTGGAAAAAACCAATGATCAGTGATTAGCGCGGATTGTCTTCAAGTGTTATACTCACGAGCGATGTCTACACCACCGATGATTGTCCGGCGCTTTCTGTGGCCGACAAAAAAAACTGTACCCGAAGTCTATCCGCCGATAATTGCGGTCAAAAAGCCGATCGCAAAGTGGTTTTTAACCGCAATTGTAGTGAACCTTAACTGCAGTTTGTGTTTATTTGGTTAGCATTTTGTGTGCATTTCTCGCATCGATTGCCAAACCATTGCTTACAATAAATTACGGCAACAAAAATGGTTGACACGTTTGGGGTATTGCCTCAGAAAGTGCTGTCAATAGGAAAAAGGTTACGATTCAACGGACGGACATTCGGACCCTTTATATACACATATTATACGTCAAACACAATACAAACCCAATAGTCATTAAAAGGTACGAATAGTAGGCAACACTTGTGTGCCATTAATAGGCATAGCATTTAATGCATTGCTGTATTGAGTTGTGTCAACACATTGTGTTGCGCTCTCTCTCTATCTCTCTCTCACTGTTTGTTTGCCATTGAAGTCATTGTTAACTGAGATTTTGTGGTCATTTCTTGAGATAATTTCGGACAACAAAAGAGATGCCGAAGAATAAAGGTATGAATCGGTGGTACTTTTGTTTGGATACTAACCATTTGATTGTCTCATATGATAGGAAAGGGAGGAAAGAACAGAAGGCGTGGTAAGAATGAGAACGAGACCGAGAAGAGGGAACTCGTCTTCAAGGAGGACGGACAGGGTATGTGTCCATGGATTATCACCACAGGGATCAGCTCCGGCATCACTCCCCCCTCTCTTTGATCGACCCTTTCGATCGCCCCTTAAGATCCATTTTGTCTTTGAGATATCTTTCGATGTCTGTATTGAACTAATGGTTTGATTATCTCTTTTAATGTCCTCATAAACGTATTGATGTCTTCGTGGTATCTAATGGTCTCTACCATCGATGGTCTGGTTGTGTGTGCGATATGTAGAGTACGCGCAAGTGATCAAAATGTTGGGCAACGGACGGCTGGAAGCGCTCTGTTTCGATGGCATCAAACGCTTGTGTCATATCAGAGGCAAACTGAGGAAAAAAGTGTGTATTGTTTTCCAGATCTCGGGATCCGATTAGCGGATCCAATTGTACCGTCTGTTTAGTCGTTGACTGTTTTTATAGTTTTTATTGCTATTAATATATTTAGTGATAAATCATTTCGTATTGCAGTTAATGTCAGACAATTATTGTTTGTCTCCACTGTTTAAGCAGTCATTTATTCAATCAATTCAAGCGTTTAATCGCTTATAAAAATGACTAAACAATAACTGCAGCAAAAACAGCATTGATTTACAAAAACAAAGCTATCAATTAATTCAGAGTATATTTAGTGTTAGAAATAGTGAATTGCAATCAATTAATCAAATGTATAGTCGACGTAAACAGCGGTATAAACACGTGGTGTAAAAACAGTCACTAACTAACTATACGTCCGTTTGGGGCACTGGTCGGGCACCACCTGTACTCCCCCACCCCCTATACCACGTGTATATATGTAGGTATGGATCAACCAAGGTGACATAATTCTGGTGGGTTTGCGCGACTATCAAGACGCTAAGGCGGACGTGATCCTGAAGTACAACCCGGATGAGGCGCGTAATCTGAAATCGTACGGCGAATTACCCGAAACGGCCAAAATCAACGATACGGTCACCTTTGGTGATGAGGAGGAGGACGAAGACATCATCGAATTCGGCGAAGTGTCCGACGACGAGGAGATCAATGTATGTCCACTTGTTGTCTGTCTGTGTGTTGTGTTTAGTTGATCCCAATTTTCAGGGATTAACTAAACACACAGTTTGTGGCCACGAATGGCAGTAAACACTAACTGATGGTCACTCCGATTGGTGGTGTGTTGTTGTTGTGTATGGCTTAAGACATTGTAGGTTTAGTTTTAGCGGATCTGATGTATGTGTGACCCCTAATGACTCCCAACTCTCCACTTGTTATATATCGTAGACTTTTATTGTTAGGGTTTTTGATTGGTGTCTAATGTCGAGTGCCATTTGTGGTGATAATTGTTTTAACCCATTGTTTCCTAATGTGTTTTATTGATTATTAATTGCTTTTTCTGTTTCTCTTTTACAGGCAATTTAAATGGAAAGCGTTTTTCTAATTCATTAATAATAATAACTAATTAATAATAAAAACTATATAAAGAATACGGAATTGATATGAATTTTGTTTTCACATTTTTGCTGTTTGTCTGAAAAAAATTGTTTTTTGAAAATATATTTCAATGTTTTTTGATATAAATTTGATTCACATTTTTTTCTGAAGACAGACTTTGAAAGTTAGTTTTTATCGCTTTTAAGTCCATTTATTAATAATATAATTACTATTTAATGATAATAATTGAGTTTTAAATCATTTCATTAGCTATTCGTATATACTGTACAGTGAAATGATTTTTAATTGTAACTTAATGTTAGGTCTAATTATATTATATATTATTTAATTTGCATATAATTTGAATTTCTCTCATTTCTTAAGATGACTATCGATTGAAAATTTCAATTTGAAATGTATTAAAAATTTATAACAAAATGTATAACTCTTTAGTTTATTTTTGTTTTTATTTAAATGAGAGATTTCTATACAATTGTATTTTTTATATGTTTTCAGTGAAACAATGTTTGTTATGTTTGTGTCACTCATTTGAATGAATTGAAAACAAAGTTTCAAAGCGATTGTTATTTAGGAAAAATGTTTTTATTTTCACAAACTACGAACTTTCGTACTTGTATTTTCAGTCTCTCTCTCTCTCTCACAGTTTGTTTGCCATTGAAGTCATTGTTAACTCAGATTTTGTGGTCATTTCTTGAGATAATTTCGGACAACAAAAGAGATGCCGAAGAATAAAGGTATGAATCGGTGGTACATCTCTCTCTCCTGTCTAAACACTTTATTAATTAACATTTATATATTTAAACGCATTGTATTTAACGTAAAACCAAACATGAAATTTGTGTTTTTATGTCAAACACTTTATTTGTTTAATAAAAATAATGTTGAAATCATCTCTCAATCCATTTCTCAGACACTTTTATTTGTGCTCATTATGTGGTGTTTATCAACAAATTCTTGCATATTCTTGGCATCGGTTCCTAGTGTTGGATACTGTTTGCTATAATCCGATTCTCTCTCTCTCTCCTCATTAGTGTAAAAACTCTTTACATATAATTTATACATAATGTTTATGCAAAACAACTCATTTCATCGCAAACACATCCACCGGTGCAGCACTTTTAGTATAAAAATATTTACCAAATGCACGATTTGAATGGCAATCAAGTCATACGAGAATAAGGAAAACAATTTAAATTTAACAAAAACTTCATAAACAATGGCATCGTATGGTGTGATTAAGTGTATGCGCTATACATAGAAAGTTGCGACAAATATATTATTACTACAAAAAATACAATTAAAAAAAGTTTTTTCTAATGAAAAATAAACAACAATTCATTTTAATAATACAAATTGTTTTTGCAATTCAATAGCATTTTTAAATGGGATGTAAACGAACCAAAACTAGCCGTCAAAACAACACGATTGCGATAACTATACATAACTTTATCATAACTTTACTCTATTAAACGGCTCATTGAAAAAAGCAAATTATGATTAATTTATTTAATGATTGATTAGATTCAGTACTTTATAAGAAAATAAATTTATTTCTTGGATACAAGTTATTGATATGTTATATACCTGTCGTATATACCTATGTGTGCAAACTTCCTGACAAAGTAAATACCCTATTGTTTTATCTATAAATATATTTAATATATGACAATATGTATGCAATAGGATAGTGAACATCAAAAAACGTTACTTTCCGTCGGATTAAAGTTACCTTTTTTACTATTTACTCAATGATTCAAATAAGCTATAAATTAATGGAAACATGAGTTGTAATGAATTATTTCTCTATTCGTTATCGCATAGGAATTAAGGGTTTGTTTCGATGTCTTATCGCTAATAATATTGTTAAAAAGCATACATTCATCGCATTATAGCAAAAACAATGGCTTTTTAGAGTGTTTTATGTTATGGAAATGACAATTACTTTAATTTAGACCATAATTGTTTATAATTTGTCATTGTTTTGACTACCTAGACACAATTAAAACTTATAACAAATGGCTATTTATAATAACGCGAGTTTTGGCAAGAATTATGTGATGGACGAGCAGTTAAGCCGGTGTCCAATATTTAGGATCATATTATCGTTGTTCACATTTATGGTCGGATTTTATGTCATTTATCGCATTTCATATCAATTTTGCCAATTATGGACACAACGGAAACGATCGTTTATATTGACCATCTTGGTCGGCCTTTTTATTATCAGCATCTTTATACATACTGTCCATTATTCCGGTATTTCATATAATATATTCATTTATATTTGTATAAGTTATTTATACTTGTAAAGTAATTTGATGTATATAAACTAGGTTGAATTAGTCATAAAGTATAGGTAATAGCAAACATGATATACTGTAGGAAAATATCTAATGTGTTTGTCATACGGGAAGACAGGTATCGATAGTGTCCGGGTTATAGTCGTTAGGTTGAGAAATAGATATGTTGTGTGAACTAAATATTGTATTTGTTGTTTTGCAAAAAGTTTAACCACATTTCCCAGTCAGAGCTCTCTCTCTCTCTCTCTCTCTCTCTCTCTCTC